TCTCTCTCTCTCTCTCTCTCTCTCTCTCTCTCTCTCTCTCTCTCTGTGTGTGTGTGACAAGGTGAGGATCTTGGCAAGAGTGGTTTATGGGTCCTTTTCGTGTAGTATTAGACTATATTAGCACTTGCACTGATCCTGTGAGAAGCTTTCCATGTCTGATTTTCAATCCAGAGATGTCACTTGTTCGCCTTTTCGACGATTGACATGCCGTCCTATTCTTGTTCATTGTTTTCCGCTAGGGAATCTTATTCCTCTTTTGGTGGAAGTTGCTCAGGTCTCGACCTGTATCCAGAGGCTTCGAGTGCACTGTTTTTCTCTCTCTTACGGAAGTTTCAGTTTTCGAAGACTCTCGCCTTTCACTCAGTGTCCTCCTGTTGTTTGTTTTTTGCCGACGCGTGGTCGGGCATCTGCTCCTTCACGGGTGCTTTCTTCGGCTTAAGTTTTCGGATTGACATCGGACGGCCGGGCATCTGGTGAATTGCTGTCTAATGGGTGCTCTCTCTCAGAAGTGTGGTGCGCGTTATTATGTTTCTCTGGCTGCATCGGGATTCGAACTTTCAAAAGTTGATTGGGTCAATTTGGGTGTACCAAATGAAGCTACGGCCCATTCGTGATGGGTGGGCATTAGATTCATTGACATCGAGATGAAGTGCATCGAAGTCGCACGCATAGTCCCATCCATAGTGGCACTACTATTCGTCATAACCAAGAACGATCGGTTCAAAAACAGTCGAATAGTCGGAATAGGTGCCGCTATTCTGTCATCCAGCCAGGAAACAGTCGAATTGCTGTTCAGTGTTCACAATTTTATAATAACGGTCGATTTTTAAGCTCGGTGTCAACTTAAGTAAAGGATGGAATAGTCGGTTGTGGACCTGGGCTTGCAGCATTGCATATAAGTCTCACCATTATAGACGACGGTCAAGATGACTTTCCTTTTCTCTCCTCTCTCCTACCCTTTTTATAGTATGCAGCATTTCGGGATCGAGGTTATAGACATCACTTGAACTCCTTTCTCCTCCTCCCTTTTTACGATATGTAGCCATTTCGGGATCGAGGTTACAGATATCATTGTTTTTTTTTTTGTTTTTTTTTTGGGGGGGGGGGGG